TGATACTTGATAAATGTAATATACGTATTGCATATTTTGCTCCAGCTATATTTGGCAAGCTGATGTTATGACTGATGTTTTACAGAAAAGAGACTAAGATGGAGTGTGTGCATGGTGTGCCCAAAGATGTTCAATGGGGATAATGGATGGTGGATTTGAAACAGCGATTTTCTGGGTCATGGCCAATTCTTTAAGGATGTGTGTTGGCCACAAACCACAAATGTGAGGTGTAGACAAACCTAACTTAACCATCAAATCTCACCTTCTGATTCTACCCTTATTGTAATATACTATTAAATTAATGAAATAATAGTTGCTAAACCATAACAGGATATGCCCAGTTTTCAACACTTGGCACCATGTAAAATTGGCCCACAGTCTGAGGAAGAAACTTTCTGATAATAGTACTGTACAAGCATTAACAATGGAATTCCTTGGGGGGCTCCCTTTTTAAAAAAAATCTGGGGAGAAACAGCCCTTTGATCCACCTTTCTCTTCTCCCAAGTGTTCTGCAGCCCTTCCTGGAAGCAAATGCCATTGGTGCCATTTCACAGGCGGTCTTATGTAAGGCATTGCTTCCCTTGAATTGGCTTGGCAGTGACCTTTACAGCAGCTTCGTCCAGCCCTAACCATACCCTCATTTCTCCGTTCAGTGTCCTGTTGTTCTGGAAATCAACACATGATGTGAGAATTCATTTCAAATGAGATACTCACAAGTTTTATTTATGTTTCTTACTTTGGCTCAAACCTCTTGCTGGCGTTTCTTTGGAAAGACGTTGGTGGAACAGAGTTGGGGGTTGGGGGAGACAAGTCTAGAAGATGTACCATTTGTAATATACAAGGATGAAAGATGAGGAACCTTTATGTACACTTGGGTACATGCAAAGAGTCATGCACATTGTCCTTCCCCCACCACCAACAACATGTAAATAGCAGAGATGGGGACTCGAGGGTCACAACTTGCTTTGAAGTCCAAGTTAAGTTGCACCAGTGACTTGACTCGGACTCAACTGGGGGGGGTTCAGGGGGGTGACTTGCAATCTATTTGCAACTCAGACCCATTTGTCTGAGTTGCATTATCATATGCTTATAGTCCTCCATACCTGCTGCCTCTGCAACCTGCATCATCTTCAGAGGCAGCAGGCCTGGCTTCCCTTCCAGGAGCTGGCTGCTTTCCCTCCCTATGCATGTGCCACCCAGCTGATAGGTTGTGCATGCAGAGAGGCAGGAGCCGGTTATGCACACAGATCCAAAGCGAGTTCAGCTTTTGGTTCACACAAAGGCCAGAAAGCCTTCCCCCCCCGGGGAATATGTATGCAGCTGCACTTTCGGGTATACTCAAATACTACAAGTTTAAGGCTCAAATATTAGAGCAATAAAATTACAGCTGGCTGGGGAGTTCATTGGTTTAATTAATTAATCTGACCCAGAAAAAAGGGAATGGTAAACCACTTCTGAGTATTCTCTAACTGGGAAACCCTGAAAAGAGTCTCTCTTAAGTCAGAATTGACTTGACAGCATGCACAAACGTTAAAAGAAGGAAAAGCAAAGCCATTTGATTCCCCCTCTCCCAAGTCTCCGTCCAAGTCTTTCAGGAATCTCTGAGTAAATGTGTAGATGTGGCTTATACTTGCAAAGTAAAAGTAAAATGTGATTAGATTGCTCATATGCTCAGCTCCTGGTTCTTCAGTAATGAATTGTCACCTGAAAGTTTAACAGGTCTCTGAAGAAACTCTTGGTAACTGTTCCACAGTCTTATGCAAAAATGTCAGCCAGCTTTGAGAAATTAGAGCTTGATGTAGTCATTGCGTTGCACACCCCAAACATGGTTGATCCACATTCATGGTCAGTCTCAGTGAGAAAAGGATAGGAATAATCAAGCTTGGATTCTGTGTAGAACCATCAGAGTTCTGGCATTAGACCACTAAAATCACACAGACAAGCACCGGCTTTTGAGTCCTGCAGGACCTTTCATCCGGCTAGACATTACAGAGATGGGGAGGGAAGTTACAGAAGCAACAGAAAAGTCCCTATAGTTATGGTCAGGTGCAGAGGCCATACCTTCTTGTTTTAAGAAAAATTGAAAACAGAGCCTGCAACCTTGTAGATTCAGATCTTTTTAGGTTTCAGCCCAGGCAGTGTAGAGTTCATTATCCTTCCCAGTCTTGGTGGACAAAGAGTTGCCAAGATTGGGAATGACAATTACATGTATATTGCCTGGCATGAAATCTGAAATTTGGTACACCTGTTTGTGAGATTATAGTTATTTTTGGATTGTGTAGAAGGAGCACACAACTTTTTACTTCCCTTTCCTTTCTTTCCTATTCCATTTAGCTTCCCTTCCCCCTTTCTTTTCTTTCCCTACCTTTTCCCCCTTCCTTTCCCTTTCCTTTCCACCTCCCTTTCCCTTTCTTTTCCCCCTTCCTTTCCTTTCCTTGCACAAAGAGGTTGTGCTAAGCCTGAAGTGGGATTTTCTCCACAAAAACTTTCAATTGGATTGATTTTTAGTGGTCCAATTAGAAGGTATCACCCACTCTTATGGTATAGCTAGTTATTATTATAGAACTGCTGAATAGCTCAGTGTTTTAGGTATCTGGCTGCGGAGCCAGAGATTGGGAGCCCATTTCCCCACTGTGCTTCCCTCAAAGAGGTTGGACTTGGTGATCCATCGGGTCCCTTCCAGCTCTGTCATTCTAAGATGATGATGATGATGATGATAATCATGTGCCTTCCAGTCAATTCTTTTCCCTTTTCAAAATATATTTTATTTTTCTTGTAGAAGGGATACAGAAGGGGAAAGGGGGTTTGGATTGGAGCCAATTGGTTTTACAGATTCTTCACATTATTGACGTTTTGGAACTTCCCATAATTTGTTACTCAATCTACCAATTATTCCTTCACTTATCTACAGTAAATACTTCAAAATCGGTATTCACTGCATGAATATTAATCTATACTCAGTTTTATAGGAGTCTCCTTGTTTATGTATCTTATCCGTGTCTCTAGTGTTCAAAACCATATACCATACATTCATTTCCCCCCTCTTTTAACAGAAAGTCCAACAAGGTTCCCCAAATTGTTCTGAAGTTCATTTGGCCTTAATTAAAGCTGACAATTTCACCATTTCAGCTATTTCCAGAATCTTAAATAGCCATTCTTCCACTGCAGGTGTTTTGTTCAATTTCCAGTATGGCACATAAAGGAGTCTTGCAGCTGTTGTCATATATCTGATCATCACTGCTTTATTCTGTTCTACTTGATTGTCTACTATGCTCTAAAAAAACAATTCTGGTTTCAGTTGCAGGTTAATTTTCAATATTTCTTACATTGTTGGGTGAATTTGCTTCCAAATTAGAAATTTTCTTTAAGGTTATAACTCCTTAGAAATTTCAGTCTGTACTTCCACATATCCTCCCATTGTTCCATTTGAACATTGTAACCAAATATTTGTGCCCATTTAACCATGCACTCTTTGTCCTGCGCTTCCTCTGTATTTAATTTCAAAAGCATTTTATACATCTTAGAAATCAAATGGTCCACATTGTTACACAGTTCTTTTTCGAACATAGATTTTTCTTCCTCAAATTCAAATGCTTTTCTCTCTGCTTTGATTCTTTCTCATAGTTGTACATTTGCAAACAATTGACAAACATAGCCATCCTCCACTAAGTCCTCTCTTGACCAAGTCTTAGATTCCCGCTGCTCTAGTTTTAAAATATCTTTATAGGTTAACCATTTACCATTGTGGGGATACCCATAGTGGCATTTTTGGTGAAAGTCTTACTTTTAAAATGTTCCAGATCCTTAAAATAGCTTGCCTTTGTACCTTCAAGTAAATTCTGATTTATAGCAAAATTTTTCAGGGTTTTCTAGACAAAGAGTTCCAAGAAGAGATTTACTGTAGTCCCTCTTCCGGGGATGCCCTGGGACTGTATAGCTTGCCCAAGGCTGCACAGGCTGGCTGTACTCACAGGCGGCACACATCTTTTAAAAACGTAACTATTTAATTTCCGTTTCTCAAAACTAAACTTCAAATGAGATAATTGCTTTAAAAACAGAACAGCATCTGAATGGTACAAGACTCCAGCTGTGCAAAGCTTTGAAGAGTTACTCTGTTTTTTTTTTGGTCTATAACTGCTAGAAGCTGGGAGCAGTCATTTTAAATGTAAGTTTTCAAGCTCTGCGCTTATGGCACACGTCATACAACTCTGTGCACAAGAAATAATGTCTACAGAAATGTCTTAACTTGAGTCAATTTGCTTACAGAATTTGCATCCCATTGCAGCTCAACAGGATTCCAGCCATTATTTTAGATATTTTTAAACTTGTGATCATAAATATTTGTTAGAACTTAGAAACATTCCCTTATTGGGTGGGAAGCCTACAAAAAATGCCCAGAATGTCTAGTTCACATGAGCTATTTCACGTTGCACTCCAAAAATTTTTTTCTAAACTTTGATATTTATAATTTGCAGTTTTAGGAATCTGTGTTATTTTACTGAAAAATCATCCTTAACCCTTGTGAAGCAGGCAGGGTCATTAAACCAATTAACAAGAACAGGAATAGTGAGGTCATGATAAAAGTAACTCAAAAAGTTATATTACCAAAAAGGTGAGTTTATCTCAAATTACAGTAGTAATGTACCATAGTTATATCTGGGGAAAGGAACTAGTCCTTAATTATTTGTAACTGGTTACTTCCAAGCTGTGACTTGCCTACAGTGAAGTAGTTTACAATTGCAAATAGCAGTAACAGTGAAATAGCAGTCCCAGTAAACATGGCTTAGGACGGCTAATAGTGCAGAAGGTCAGGTCAGGTGACATAAAGGAACCAATATGGGGTTGTCCTATGCTGCGAGACTGTGGGCACAGCTCTGTGGGAATGGGAGGCATAAATTTAAGGAAATGCTGAAGAAGCATAGAGTGTCAAAGGTGTTGTGTAAGCTGATTTTAGCAGCGTCCCTTTCTGCCTCACGTCATGATTTGCTTGCTTTCTCTAGGTCAGATCTTGCCTACCAGTCGTAACACACCAAGTCCCATTGATCCAGAGACCATTCAGGTTCCAGTCGGATATGAACCTGACCCTGCCGATCTCGCCCTTTCCAGCATTCCCGGCCAGGAGATGTTTGACCCTCGTAAGCGCAAGTTCTCCGAGGAAGAGCTGAAGCCACAGCCCATGATTAAGAAAGCTCGCAAAGTGTTCATTCCAGAAGATCTGAAGGTAATTTGGAACTGGTACCCACCCTATGGCAAAGCCATGGTAGAATTAAACTATTTGCAGAATGAAACTGCTCGAAATGTTTCCATAATAACTGGATTTGGCCCTCAAAATGTGCTTGAATTTTCCAGTATCCTGAGAAAAGGTCCTTCTCTGCACTGCCCTCCTACTGTGTCCCAACTCTCTGGATTTAAAGGGAACTGCTGTTGAACCACTGTAGAACTTTACCAAGAGAGAAGTTAAGGAGGAAAACAGAGATTGGAAAATTGCCTTTTTTGGACGACAGATTTCAGAAGCTCATACACATGGTCACTGGCCATGACGGCTGTGGGTTTCTGGAAGCTGTAGAAACAAAAACAAACAAACAAACACCTAAACTAAGCTAAAAAGGGCTACTTTCCCCATTCCTGATTAAAAGAAATGAATGACAATAACCCTCAAAAAGAGGCCTAGAATGGGTTTCCAGTTTAAAGATCTTGGTGAAAATTCGTAGCATGGCAAGGTTTGAATCATGCAAGCACTTCCTTCCTTCCTTTTTAATCTAGCCTCCAGCTTGACGAAGGAATCCCAGAGCAAGAGGGTTCTCCACAAATAGGATTTCAGTCCCTCCTTGAAGGCCTCCAGCAAAGAAGAGCCAACCAGCCCTTAAGTGTGACGGTGCTTCCACTGTCAAACACCTTTTTGCAAACTGCGCTTGATCAAAATCATCCAGAGGTTCAGCTTAAATCTACCTGCCTGTGGCTTGATGCCATTGGATCTGATGGCGCAGGATTCAATAGGCTTTCTTGAGCGTAGGTGGGCTGTATTTAAACATCAGGGCCACTGGTGCCTTTGGGATTTTTTAAAAATAATATTAGAATAAAATGATACGTAATAACTTAAATGCAACACATAAAGTATGTCATCTTGACTTCACTTGTGAGAAACAAGGGCAGTACAAATAAAATAACATGCACCAAAGCTTACTGTTGTGTCCTTGGGGAAACAATTAGGATTTAGTTCTTAGGGTTGATCTGGAATTTCTATACCATTCAGAGAAGCAGAGTACAGGTATTAAGATGTGCATATTTGCTTTACTTAGGGATCCATTTAGCCAATTGTGAATGATTTGAATAATGACTTGTGTGCATTTCTTAGCACGCAGGAGAACTTGTGAAATTTCCTACCTCACGGTAGCTCTGCTGTTTGCTACTTAGCCTCTAGTAGCAAAATGCTCACCCCTGGCCAAAAACAAACTAACAAACAAGAACAAAATTTTAAAAAATCCTCTCCAAAGGTTTCCTGGCAAGGATCTGGAAATGTTTGGTGCCAGTGATCAGACTTTTCTGTTTGGACACTCAGATGACATGGTGGGGATCATGGCCTTGGCTTCATTTGAACTGGCAAGAAGGGCTCCCCTCTCCTCTTTAGAAAAAGCTTGGCAGAAGGTTTGCTCTCCTTCCTGCTGCCGCCCGTTTTCTCTGCTGTCCCTTTCTCAGGATGCTGGTTGGCTGCTGAGGTCTGTAACGGGGGTAAGCAGATTAGGCCCATCCATCATTTCTGGCCTGCATGTGATTCTCTACTTCTTTCAGGCCCCAGATTAAAGGATTTGCCTTTGTAATTTGTTAAAATAAAGATGTATGTGGCCCAGATCGCCCAGGAAAGAATGGAAATAAAAGCTGGTTTTTATGGAGAGGAGAGAAAATATAAGCCAAGTGGATGGCAGCTATTAGAAGGGTTTTTGGTTCTCCCTTGCCTCAACGAAGAAAACTGGGGGCTGGGGTGGATTTAGGCAGCAGGCTTCACTCTGCAGCCAGGCTATTGAAGCCAGTAGTGCCACTTTAATGATCACGTCAACTCATGCCAGGGCTACCTCTGAATTCTTGAGTTCGGCTTGAGTTTCATTTCCGTTTCACTTCATAAACAGCATTCAGAAAAGCAAAAACAAAGGACACACAAATATATGAGCGGGAAACTTTTTTAAAATGAAAAGAAAGAAAGAAAGAAAGAAAGAAAGAAAGAAAGAAAGAAAGAAAGAAAGAAAGAAAGAAAGAAAGAAAGAAAGAAAGAAAGAAAGAAAGAAAGAAAGAAAGCCCTTAGTGCTTAAGGCATTGGGATTGTGGAAAAATGTGAAGCTCAGGAACTCATCAGAGCAGTCCCCATGGCCGTGTCCCCCCCCTCCCACAGGAATCCATAGCTTTGCTCCATTTACATCCTGCTTTTCTGTTACTTATATTCTAAAGAGCTAACACTGTGCATTAAGGAATTTAGTACTATAATGAACAACAGACAAGCAAAATAAAAACAAAAACTAAATAATGCTGGGAAAAGCTGGAGGTAAACCCAAAAGAGAAGGTCAAAAACAAGATGGCGTGACTTAATAAAGGTTTTAAATTTTCAAGAGCTGAGCAGGTCTCCTAATGATACAACCCTTTGGAGGTCATTAATGCATCAGGTCATCATAAATCAGAAGCGCCTTGATGGCATATAGCAACATTTTTTGAAAAATCTCACAATTGATTTTACAGGGCAGGACTATAATTCTGTGTGGGACTCAGCTTCATTGAACTCAGTGCCCTTTGCCTGTGATAACCTGTAAACAGATTGTACTTAAAAAAAAAAGCTTCAGCCACTGAAAGCCCTGTTTATCACTTTTAATGAGAAATGCAAATGATCTTTCAGAGAGGCTCTGGGTTGTTTTTGAGTTGCCAGAGTGAGGTGGTAGCACTGTTAAATTAAAAAGTCAAAAGTCTGTAGCCTCTCTTTAAGTAGTGTCCTCATTCTTTGGCTACCCCTGTGATTATATGTCACAGCAAATCTTGAAAGTCCCATTATCAACTCATTCACTTGCCAGAGTAAGTAAAACCTATGGATTAACCTGTTGCTCTAGCAAATGAGGGTGTATCTAATTACAGCCTTAAAGCTTTCTGCTACAAATTGGACTCCTCTGGCTGCATCCGATATAATACTGGGATCTGTATTAGAATTCTGTGCTGTAGTTTGGGGAAGGACACAACTTGAGTATCCAAAGTACCTCATTAAACTACAAATCCCAGGATTCTGAGGAATGGAACCAGAGGGTTCAAAGTGATGATCAGACTGTCACCACAAAGTGCCAATTCACTGGGTGTCCCTGCTTCCTGCCGCATTCCCCTGCATGGCCTTCCCACTTTGCCACTGACCTGCCGAGTGCCTGACTTGAATGAAACACAATACCCCCAGCCAGCCGCCATGAGTGCTTAGGCAGCCGGTCTGGGACTCCTTTAATCTGCTGAAATCTAATGCCTTCTGGCTTCCTCTCTGTTATTCATGAGCAGGATGACAAATACTGGGCAAGACGCAGAAAGAACAACATGGCTGCCAAGCGGTCTAGAGATGCCCGGAGGCTGAAGGAGAACCAGATTGCCATCCGCGCCTCATTCCTCGAGAAAGAGAACACCGCCCTGCGCCAGGAGGTGGCTGACCTACGGAAAGAGCTGGGCAAATGCAAGAACGTCCTTGCCAAGTATGAAGCCCGACACGGCCCCCTGTAAATGGCATTTTCCCCCCACCCCACTTTCTGGTTTTCCCCTTCTTCCCTGTCCCCCTAACCCCCCCCCCAGGTTGGCATTTAAATAGATGGACTCCTCTTTGATAGCACCAAACCTAACCAACGTTTCAGTCATCAGCACTTTACCGGAAAGCAGAAACAAAACCAATGTACAACTCTTTTTGTCCATGGACGCATGTAGAGGCATGCGTGTATGCAGGGGTGTGTTTGTGTGTGAGTGTGCACGTGCATCTCAGCACTGTTCATTTTAAAGTAGCCCTCCAAACAGGGCGGCATATTTTCCCTCGGACTGCTGAGATTGGCCACAATAAGCTTTTTATTAGATAAGTACATATATGTATATGTTTTTTTTCCAGTGCTGCTTCAAACTAGCTATGTTTTATCTTACTGTATTCTTGATTTAACTTGGGGGAGGGGAAAGAAAAAATCCCCAATATAAAAGAGAAGAGAAATGGGAGAGGGAAGACAGGAGAGAGGAAAGGGTGTGTGTGTAAATCTCTTTCCAGTCTCTCGTTTAAATATGCCTAATCAGACAATGCTAACTTGCTAATTAAAAAAATGCACAAATGATACTTTAATGCTACACTGCAAAAATATTAATTTATAGATTTGCTTCCTTCCTTCCTGTTTGTTTGTTTCTTCCTGTGTTCATAAGTTTCAAGAGTAGACTATATCTTCAGATTCACACTGCTGTCCATAGTTTTCCTCCTAGTAGGCTCCATAAGAAACAGCTGTGTGTGTCCTTCAATTGCCACGAAGCCTGGAACACATTGATAGTAGTACTACAGACAGATCACAGTGTATTTTTTAAAAACATTATTTTGCATTGCCTAAACCTAAGCAATAATCCGATTGTATGCTAGTCATCTGCAATGTTTCTGGTGGCCATCGGATGACCTCTTTTCCTAATGAGAGTACTTTTTACTGTTTTGCTCATTTTTATCAGGAATAGTAAGGAATTATTGATAGGCTGCTACAAATATTCCTGAAAGAGCAAGACAAAAACTCCAGAGATCCTCGCATGGCCAGTCCAAGTTTTGTCTTACCTTAGGCAAATTGAAATATTGCTTCCCCCTCTCCCCCCACTTATGCTCCATCCTATACTGAGCATAACATGGGATTAATTCAATAACTGAGTAGGATAACAGACGTTCATTACTCCCTTCACAGCACTTTACAATGGTTATCATTCTCTATACCTCATGGAACCATTGGAGATCCATGTGCTCTCGGTTGCAATTCCAGAGAGGCAGGTGATGTCAAGCTATTCATGCTGGGAATGTCTCTATCTCTCACCCCACTGACATGGGGACTTCAATAGCATAGGCAGCTCTAGAAGGTAGGCACTACAAGACATTGCCTCAATGGGCAGGATAGGCTGATGTACACAGACTGCTGTTCCCCATTCCCTCTTTCACAGGGGGAGAAATCTGTGGCTCTCTCTATGTTGCTAGACCACAACTCCCATTAGCTCCCTAGCCAATAGAGCCAAGTGTGATGGGGCTTGGTGGACTGCTATGTCCAAACAACTGGAGGACCACCGCTGGTTGCCCACGCTTCAGCAGATCTATGCTTGTTCTACGCCCTTCTCACCGTGCTGATCACCTGTCAGTGGTAAGAAGGCCAGGTAGAGTTAGGCCCTTCCTCACTTCTCAGGACAGTCTATCAACGTCCATGGAGGCAAGGACACCTCCATTGATTACCCTTCCATGATGAGGGTGAGAAAGTTGTGCCCATAACACAAGATATATTTCAATTTGTAAGAGAGCAAAACGAGAACTTTGGAGTTATCCTTGGTGTTCCCGTTCTGGGGCATCTTAGTATTCCTATTATTTCACTTCATATTTGCATTTCTCAAAGTACTGGTTTTGTGATTCAAGTATTTTTTTCTTTTTCCCCAGTTCTGTAATATGTTTTCTGTGGACCTCTCCCTCATTCTGTTTCTGGATTGTTTTGAACAGAGCTTAGAAATGTCCTTCCCTGCTTTTCTTTTCAGTCTATAGCTCCCAAATCCCACTAGCTAGCTGGGCCAATGGGCTGGGAGCTATATTCCGAAAACGTAACTTTCTCAGTGACTCAGAAGTCCTTCTCCCCGATTCCACTTTCCCTTGACGTGTTATTTTGATTGTATCATGAGCTGATGGTTCTCACACTTTCTCCTGTTCTTTTTTTCTTTTTTTAGCTTTGATTTGCTTTCAAAACTTGTGTTGTATTATAGAATGGACTTCTAGGGTATTGCAGGGCAGGGTAGGGAAATGAATGTACAAGAAGCAGGTATATATTGAAAGGGGATGGTGTTGTCGTACTTTGGTTAATCTAATCCATTTAAATGTTTTCTGAAGACCAAAAGAAACTGATTATTACAAAATGTATAAAGTTTATACAGAATCATTAGAGTGTGCTTTTTTTGTACAGTATTTTTCACAAGGACAAATGCTGAGTGTGTATTTTGGAAGTGTGAGCATGATATATGATATATCACGTATATATTATTATATATATTATATAGACATTATTACAATATGATATATAATATATATAATATATGATACATTAACGTAAATATGATATATTAAGCAGAGGGAGGGAAAGCAAAGGTAGATATTCTGTGCTTATATATTCTCATTAGTATTGTACAGAGAGGAAATGGTTCTAGGACTCCCACTGCACTTAAATTATTTTGTGTTTTTTTGTAACCACTGATCTTTTAGCATGGTTTTACACTTTATACAGTCCATATCTTTCCAGGCACAGCTGCTCACATGGACAAGGATAGCATGGGGCTCAGCAGAACTGTCCTGCTGTCTCCCATCCTCAGAGTGTCCTGCCTTGGCCCATGTGCTAGTCTTGAATAACTTGGCTGAGAAGCTTAATGGAGAGAAAGAATTGATCAGGTAGTGCTGGGAAGAGCTCAGAGCACAGCATTGCATAAATGCTGAGATGAATGCAGCTCTGTTGAGCCTGAGGCAAATCTTTCTTGGTGTAAGAAGTTGTGTCATGTGTGAGGATGGATTCTACCCTAAATATTTAAACAGTTTAAACTACCCTAAATATTTAAAAGTTTGCCACAGTCCTTCCAGCAAACAATAGTTTTCTCTTCCTTCCTTCCTTCCTTCCTTCCTTCCTTCCTTCGAATCTATTGTGCAGTGACCAGATTTATGCTGTGATGCTGGTCACAGAGTTTAGGCCACACAAGTATGATAAGGATGGTGCTGTAACTTAATTAAAGTGTTGTCGTGCTTATGTTGTCAACCTTCTCTCACATTTCAGATCTGCTGCTGTGGGGAAAAACTGTCTCCACCACATGGAATTTCCCTCCCCCCTCCTTTTTTTCATTGCTAGGCTTCGTAAAACAAGGATCCTTTCAGAGCAAAGTAGGTCTCTCTCTAAGGAAGTCCAGACTCAGTGGGATGGGGAGTCTTAAGAGTCTCCTTGGTCCCTTCCAATGGATACCTCAGTTGAACTTGAAGACAGAGGGCTAGTACTCTGGTGCAGTGCAGTTGCCCATGTCCTCTGTCCTCTGGGAATAAGTAGTTCAGAGGAATTTAGGATTGTTCCCCACATTAGAGGTGAACCTAAGTTTGTCATCCAGTGCTCTCTCAGCAGGGGGCTGCTGCTAATTACCGGTTCCCGACAAGCATGACCCTGTTTGTCACATTCACATACCTTACCTTTCCAGGATTAAGCTGGCACCTAAAATGCAGTGACTAGTGTGGGCCTCAGGTACTCTTAGTTCCCAGTGAAGACAATGGCTGAAATTCTGTTGCTTGGCACAATAAGTAGGCTCATTTGAATCAGGGGAATTTACCGAAGAGTTGACTCATCAAATTGCCACTGATTCAGTGGGTCTACTCTTGTGCAACATTTACTGAGCAGCAGGATTTCTGCCAAGGGAACCTAAAGTACACAGAACTTTCTCTGAACTACATCTCTTGTGTAGGTTTTATGGACACAGGGAAGTGAGATTCTCTCCCTCTCTCCCTCCCTCCATAGTAATCACCCCTTTCCTGCTGGTCCTAAGTTTTTTCAGTGGCCCCAATCCTTCAATTTTTCTCTTACCCAACCCTGCCCTTTTTCACATTGGGCACAGCCATGTGAACCATCCGTGATAAGTTTTTGCCTTTGTTTCACTTAAGCAGCCTTGAGAACTTGATATCTAGTCCTGGTGAGGATAACTACAGCAAAATTCAGACACCCACCTGGCATACAAGTCTATAATGGTGCTATACATATTTCTAAAAGATATACATGTATCCTCAAAGCAAACACTTTTCCATTCCATAAAATTTCACTTAAATCCAAAGGCAATTTTTAAACAATTGTGCTTTGGCCTGCTGGAAAAGGTACCCAAATATCTCAGTTACATTAAAAGGCTAGATTTTGGTGGACCATTATTTCAGTGGATATATTTGTTGCAGCTTCCCTTAAAATAAGAGAGTTTTTTTTTAAAAAAAATGGGAGTAACATACTTGATAAAAATTTAGAATTTCGATGGCAATCAGTAATGACAATTCATACTAACTATAAATCAAAAGTAAGGGGCACAATCCACACGAGGTTAATTGCTCACTGATTCCAGGGGGAAGAGGTAAGCGCATGACTGAGTCTCTCCTGTTGAACTCAATGGGACTGAATAGTGGTTAACTTTTGCTGCTTAAAATCTAGGGTTTTAAGAAATGGCAAAGCACAGATAAGTAACCTGTTTGGACTTTAACTTGCCAGAATTCCCCCAGCCAATCTAGCCAGCTTTGCAGTCCAAAAAGTAAATTTTTCTGAGCTCTGAATGTCTGTCTCCCACCCTCCAAGATAGCGGCAGGCTGTCAGTATAAAAAAGTAGAATTTCTATAATTTTACATGTCTTTATGGCTGAATACGCACCACTTTTTTCACCTGATGATCCTTGCATGCTGTTTGTGAGTTTGAAAAAGTTCCAGTCCCCCTTCCAGTATAATTCCTAGGACTCCGCTGGCCATGGGAACAAAATGATCGACTCTCCCTCTGCCATTCCAGTTGGTGCGCCTTTTTAAAAACTAGCCCAGTCAGTTAAAAACTGTATTTCAGTGCTGCCAGTAGAGGAAAGGATTTCCTGCTTCAATGGCCCACATGGCAACATGCACTAGAAACATTTTTGCAGACTGGTCACTTCTATGAACTTGTTTGGGAGACTTATTTAGAGTCACTGAGGAAATGTGTTTTTGACGTATTTGAAACAACAGTATGATCTGGTAGGCCTGAACATTTATTTCCAGGCATAACAATATGCCATGGTTTTTGTAGTCATGGATATGGTGTTGTTCAGATACATTTATGGGAAGTCAGCAGTGTTCACTTGTGCAAAGAGCGAGGAATTTGAGGCCTTCAAGATATAGGTGAACCAAAACAACCATTATCCCTGACCATTAGAAATTCTGGCTAGGGCTGAAGTTCAGAGTTTGGAGTTCAGAGTCCAAAATCAACTGGAAAGAGACATATTTGTCTATCCTTGACTGCATGCTACCATCCAGTCACACAGCCTCTTAACCTCATGCCCTTGCTGGGTCCACAAGCTGGTGAAACACCTTTCAGTCTCCTTCCCAGGATCATGTGCTGACTCTCCAACTGGCTTCCTTGACATTTTGGGTTTCGACCTGGGCCTTCCAAGACTCCTGGAAAAATTCTTTAAGAGGGACAGACCAAGTTAAAATTCAGAGGCAATCAGGAAAGCATCCTCCATCATCATGGAGGGGAAAGAATTGCTACAAAAATATTATAGGACATTGGGGAGGATGATTTCATTGCTGGTGCTTGAGTTCTGACCCAATGTCATGGTCACAGGATATTGGTTGGAGCTGAAATAGGTTCCAGGCAGTGCCCACAGGTCACAGGGTATGTAGCAGGTATAGCCAGCCATTAGATTGTCCAGAGGGCCAATCTAAATCAGGTGACACGGGAAGAGGGATGGCAGCCCTTTTCTAAATCCCCAGCGCCCATAGCTAGTGGAGGCATAATATGCTTGCCTGGCAAATTGGCAAAATGTTGGAGACTTCCTAAAACATGATTATCACAGTATATCCTCTCTTCTGAAGTCAGCCATCAGCTTAGACCAAGATGGGGGAACCCTGTGGCCCACCAAAAACTGAATATGGCAGCGGTCTTCAGCTCCAGCCAACATAGCTAATGGTCAAGTATTGTGGGGTTAGAGATCCTGCAACATCTGGAAGACTGCTGGTTCCTTACCACTTGGCTTGGTGGGAAAATAAATTCCTGGCCCCCGGTGACTGCCCACAATCCCAGTTTGGTTCAGGAATGTCAGTTACCTGCCACTGCTTTGTAGTTAAGATCCCATGCCATTCCCTATGAGTGTGGAGTCATTGGATGAATGAAACGTAGCCTTATCTTCTGAATTACAGTTCCTTCTGTGGGGTTCTCTGCCTTTATTCTTGCTTGGAACATTATGTGCGCGTGTGTATGTGTATAGGTGCATTAGCACATGTGTGTACTCTGAGAAGAAGAAGAAGAAGATTTGGGTATTTTTCTTTTCATTTGGAAGAATATATAAAATCTTTTCTCTCTCTCAAGTGATCAACCATTGTATTTCTGGCAACACCACAAGGCAGCATCTGTTACGAAGAGTTTAACAAATAAGATCAAATTAAATGTCTCTCATGAAATTGATTGCGTTCTCTATGCTTTTCAGCCCAAATCTTTCTGTCTGTTATTCTTTAATGTTTAATAAAAACATATAATTTTTTTCTCCTCTTGGATCTCTTGTTTATTTTCATGCACTGGGATAGACGTTTCTGTGGCTGCCTGTGCTTTTCTCCCAAACATTTTGGTACAGTTGTTTGCCATGATCACATGCTGCAGTCTTCCTTCACAACAGTGGCTTTCTAATGTTGTTGAACACCAGTTCTCATCAACCACACACAGTCTGCTCACTGGTGAAGGACCATGGGAATAGTAGTTTTCAACAGGCAAGAGCTGACAGGCTCACTAGCCTGCCTTATAAAAATGTTGTAGTAGAAAGTGATAAATTCGAAGCAGAGAGATACCCAAATACAAAATCCTCATTTACCTCGGAAGCTGATTTGCTCAAGTTATATTATCTCAGCCTATCCTTTTTTTCTGGAATAGTTATGAGGATAACATGGGGGTACTCTCATGCAGTAAGACAATTGATTTGTTTGAAATATGGTGCTGATACGCTGAACTACCAGAAAGACAAGCAAGTGAGTCCTAGATCAAATCAAGCCTTCCTCTGGAGGCAGAGAGAGAGAGAGAGAGAGAAAGAGAGAGCTGAGGCTATCATACTTTGGGCACATAGCAAGAAGGCAAGATTCAATGGAAAAGACAATAATGCTGGGAAAAGCTGAAGGCAGCAAGAAAATAGGAAAACCAAAACATAAGATGGATTGACTCTATCAAGCCTTGAGTTTACAAGAGCTGGGCAGGGCAGTTGAAGACAAGACATTTTGGAGATCACTCATTCCTAGGGTTGCCATATGTCAGAAGCGACTTGACAGCACCTAACAACAACAGCCTCATGCACAATGACCTACATAATTTGGAATTCAGAAAAGGAATGGGCGGGATGGGCTGTGCTTTAGTGGTACCGCATATTTTTTACTTGTTAGAATCCCAAGTTAAACTTGTAAATAAAATGGAGATCCATTGCCCATCAGTTTTAAAACAATTCTGAGCAAGATGGACCAGTGGTCTGAATTAGTATAAGGATGTTTCTTGTGTTCCTATGAGAGAAAATATGAGAAACACAGAGTCTTTCTCATTAGCTTCCCTAACTTCTCAGGAAGTGGTAACTAGGCATCACTGGGTTATGTTAGAAAGCTGTTTCAGATTGATCTCACCATAATGGTGTGCTTCCAACTAATATTATTCCTGCATACAAAAAGGAAATAGATGCTCTTACTAGTAGATTTGGCATAGCACAGGAGGAACCTGTGGCCCTACAGACTGTTGTTAGAGTGCAGCTAAGCCTCACATTAGCCCTAGAAGTCACAGCCATTGGTGGGGGCTCTGAGAGTTACAGTCCAATAACAGCAGGTGGGTCCTTGATTTAGGGCCAAATATGCCCCATGCTCAACACTTCCATTTTTTAGTTCACTATCCCAAGGCAGAGTGACTCAAAAATACCCTGAGGACACAAGATGTATGCTGTACCTGAGGGGAACTTTCTGAAGAGATGAGTTTCCTCTGTCTTTTATTGTCAACCCACAAAGTGATCTAGTACCCTGAATTTCCAGGACATTGTCCTTGGTCACCTCCCAAAGTGTTTACTCGTGGAAAGAAGCACAGTGTAAGAACACATGAAGTTGAGAAATGATTCACTGAGAAGCTTGTCCAGATCACATTTCAGTGGGTTGGGATGACTCAGTTTAGCAATTCTCGCTCACTGCCCATCAACCAGGTAAGTAACACAGGACTCTACCTCAGGCAATTTCTGACACGGCTGTTATTCTGCCTGATCACCTTTATTTACTGGTATTCCATGTATGAGGTGTGATAGGCAACTGACTTAAAAGCTATAATTAGTTTGTTCCTCTCCTCCTCCTTCCTTGTAAGAAAATGAGCCTTTTCTTTTTAAAGGCCCAGTATTAGCCCAAGCATTCCTGCCACTTCAGGTGGAAAGAGAAGAACAACATGTGCAGCCACCGCTGTTAACTTTGCTTCCTCTTTCCTAGCAATGCTTGCCTTTGTCTAAAAGAAGTGTCCACATCTGCTCTTTAAGCAGCTGGCACTTCTTGACACAGAGGGTGGATGGGCAGGCAGGTGTGAGTTTTAACTTGAGTTCTAGCCTGTGCAGCATTTGCTGTTCCGAGGAATAAGCATTCCCAATATGGACGTCTGCTCATGAGATTGTCGGGTACAGTGGAAAGTCAGAGCAGGGCAAGAGCATTGAAGCCTAAGAGGGTGCGAAATTTGCTTTCAGAAGCAGGCAAGCCCTGCCTCCCTGAGTGTGTATACCACCTCAGCTAGCTCTTCCCTGGCCAGAAGGAAAGAGAAAACATGAGGGGTTCAGTCTGGAGCCAGGATGTCCCTCATGAAGTCAGATCCTTGCTTTCCTCCCTGTTCCCCTGTCTTCTCCCCTTGTCTGCCACTGTCCTGAAACCAAAGGTCAGGTGCCCAAATAGCTTGTTGTGATGGTTCCAGGGACAAGACAAGAAGCCATTAAAATCTCTGCCTCTCCACAGCTCAGGATCTCTTGTCAGAAGGAGCAGAAGGCAAGGGGATTCTTGATGTGGTGGTGGATGAGCAAGAGATCCCTCAGGGCCTTGGGCCCTGGGGATCAGCAGCATCGAGACTGTAACTGCCCCCTGCTGCTCAGGAAAAAAGGGGGAGGGGAAACAGAGGGAGTCACAGCAAGCAGGTCAGACTCCTTCCCAGGAGGCTGCATTTCTGGCATTTGGGGGCTTTTCTGGGGTGTAGGGGATGGTAGTTCCCATGGCTGTGGGAACAGCCATGACAACCAGCAGCCCCTTGCCCCTAGGCTCCAGTGCTCTCCACACTTGCCTGAAAAGAACTCCCATTGAGCCTCTGCTGACACTAGCTTATTGACAAGTCTAGGAGTGCTCTGTGAGCGGGAAACTGAAACACGGCATAGAGAAACAAAGTGCCCCTGAGCATGTAGGAAGGTCCTTCTCTCCAGAAAGAGAATGGAGGAGAACAGGCGGGGCTCTGGCAAAGAGAAGAGCCAAGCAGGAAAGCATCAATGCGGCATACTGTGGGAAGTGTGAAAGCAGATTTTATGGGGTGAGACAGATGGCACCTTGTAGAATCCAAGTAACAAGAACAACAACAATGACAAATATTATTATTAACAGGCCTCCTGGTGAATGAATGGTCCGTGGAGGGGGGGGGGAAACCTCTTTCCGGAGTTGCCCTGGAGACAATTCCACACAACGGTGACAATTCCGCCATATAGCCAGCACTGTGGAGGATGATTCCACACAACGGTGACAATTCCGCCATAATGCCAGCACTGTGGAGGATGGGATACCATTTCCTCTGGAAGCGAAGAACCTGCTTTCTTGATAGGGACCCTCTCCCTTCCACACATGGTTTAATGCTCTGTTTTGTTCTTTGTAGGCAGGGGAGAGGTTCATTTCTGTTTGTTCTTTAGTTCAAGAAACCTGAAATGACACTGGGCGGGGAAGTCAAGAGTCCGTAGTAATGCAGAGAGTGCAACTACAGCATGGGTAGCTACCACAAAAGGACTGAAGTAGGCAGCAACCACCCTATCTAGGCCATCTTCAGTCCCGTTTCTCCTCCACAATCACCCTAGAGTGACTCGTGTAAATCTTCTTAGGTTCCCTAATTCCTTTTTTTTCCCCTTGGTGAACCTTTCCCCCTACCGTCTGAGTTTATTTCAAGGGAGAGACAGATGGGTGTTTGCTGGATAAGAGGCCCAACTCACTGACCCTGGAGGGCGAAACTGTGCTCACGACCTGGGGTTCAAATCCCAGGTAGCCGGCTCAAGGTTGACTCAGCCTTCTATCCTTCCGAGGTCAGTAAAATGAGTACCCAGCTTGCTGGGGGGGGGGCAATGTGTAGCCTGCATAATTAACTTGTAAACCGACCCGAGAGTGCTTGAAGCACTATGGGGCAGTATATAAGCAGCACGCTTTTTGCTTTTTAAATAGTGATATGGTGATAAACCTGGAGGTGCAACTGCTGTTCATCGGGGCAGTGCCAGAAAGTCCAAAACTGCTGCACAGTCTTTATCAGCAAATGAGTAGCAGATCTTCTGTAAAACGAATGGCTCTGAATTGCCCCCTGAAGACCAAACCACTCTGTAATACTTAGCATGACAACAGCGACACCATGGAACAATATCCTGTACCTCAGAAAACCCATTCCTTTGTGAGGATTGCAGCTACATTCAAGGGAACAGGGTAACCCTGAGGAAAATGGCAGGTAATGTCATAGTCCCAGCTATTCAAAAAGTTCAAGGTTTTCAAGCCCTGTGTCTATTGCTCCATTTCCCTCTGCAAAACACTATTCCTGCATTACTGACTCTGGATAAGAAGGCACAGGGCGCTTCCAGCCAATAGAGCTCTTTGTAATTGCTTAAGTACTGCCCTTTGAAAGGAATGAAGTATTTGTTGCTTAGTGGCTGGGGACAATGGCTTCCTATGAGGCAGTCTCCCTGGTTATCCAAGTGGATGGCTACAGTTCCAGCCACAGTTCAATTAAAATATTTGAGGAGGAAGACATTCTCCAACTCATTTAGTGGCCACACGTCATCCCCAAATGTGGGACAATCTCTACTATATGTGTCATGTGTTCCTGAATTGAACCACTTTGGGTAATGGACAGACAGACAGACAGGTTAGTGAGGGTTGCTCTCCCATGCTTCACAGCTTCTCTATAAGGAAAACACACACACACACACCAACACTAACACCAACACCACCAACACCAACACCACCAACACCAGCAACAACAAACCCCCGTGTACATTGAAAAAACAAAAGCTACACTTGGACATTCCAGATCTTCAAGGTATAAATGTACAACAGTTGGAAATGTGTTAGCTCCTCCCCACCCCACACTTCCATTACAATTAGTGGCCCAGTCTGCTGGAGTAATTAGAGTATTAGACAAGGGGTCCATCTAGACGAGGGAAGTTGGAGCGATTCAGTTTATGCTCAAAAGGTTCTTTAGTGCAATCTATGTTACCTCACATTTGAATAATTCTTCCATTCACATGGAAGATGGACAACACTGTAGAGTACTCTG